ATTTCAAAGAGAAGCATAATAATATTTATCGTTGATTCTGTTCACATCTGGCCAACAAAATGAATATAGCGTAATGTCCGTTTCTCAAATCACTGTCATTAGGTACCTACTGGGTACTTGCCAACTAGTCAAATTCAATACTTTTTTCGAACTGTCAAAAACGACAGTTTTCTATGAATTTTGTACGAGTTTGTGTATTGTGTAGTCACGTTTATTTAGCATCAAACAGCATACTTACTTCTTAAAAAAATTCTGGAAATATACTGAAATTAAGTTGGTCATAAAATCATTTAATGAAAGTGTGTTTTTTTTTGGAATATTTTATTGTGTTGAACAGTCGAAATAATTTATTTTTGTTTATGGAAAGTATTCAATTGTAAAGTATTCAAATGTCTAAAGTGTGATGATTTGACTGTAATTCATTTTCTAATTGGAGCACAGAACCTTACGCTACATTAGCCACAGCCACAGTTCACCATCTGGTGAACAAAAAACGATAGCATTAATTATGAAATAGAGAAATTATTGAGATAATCTAATAGTCATGTTTTAATGCCCAAATGATGCGGAGATACTCAAAGATTTAGTACTGCTGTGGAGAACCTCAAACAGTTCCATATCAGGAGTAGAAACGGGGTGTGTTCAATGTGGGAAACACCTCCCATTATTCAGAAATAATGACTGATAATGGGATAACTGAATATTGGGAGGTTTTTCCCATATTTTCCCCTTAAAAAGGCTTGGGATCTCAATTATATCTGTGAATATGAAGTGTACCGTTTGCTAGTCTAGTACTGTATATAATAATATTATAATACTAGCTTCTGTCCGCGACTTCGTTCGCGCAATCCCGTTTCTCTCATTCTCGTAGGATTTTCAGCACTTTTTTCTATCATAAGAACCATCTCCTGACGATAACAAACACAACAAAAAATCAGCCGAATCGGTCTAGCCGTTCTCAAGTTATGGCGTGACAACTGGAAACGGGTTTCATTTTTTTATATAGATGTCTATTATACTAACCTATTCCTACTCCTAGTATTACGAAATAGATCACATATTAGATTACCTAATTTCTAAGTATAGTTGTCAAAATTAATAGCTATACTTTAAGTGTTCCTGGCAGCCGACCTCCTTCCCCCATTGCGTAAGTTGGTAGCGGCTAGTACCGGGGGGTTCCGCGTTCGATGCCGGTCACGTCATATTGTGTAAGGTTGTCCTTTGTTATTCTGTTGTGGATAAATTTGTTATTGAGGTTAGTTTATGTTCTATGTTACTTTTGATGATGATTATGATCTCATTGATTTTGATTTAGTTATTTTGTGACTCTAATCTAAGGCGGCATGGTTGGTACGGTGGCTGGGCAATCGGCTGCTGCTTCGTGTGGTCCACAAATTGTTTTTTCGTGTCTGGGTGTCATGTGTATGTGAACTTGTATGTTTGTAAACGCACCCACGACACAGGAGAAAATCCTAGTGTGGGGGGTAACGTTTAAAAAAATATACGAATACTCAAACGACACTGAATTTTAAGTTGCGCTTAATTATCACCATGCTAATTATAGTTCTGTCACTACAAATTCTTTATAAAACGACAAGGAAGACACGATATTTAAGTACAAGGTAAAATTGAGTAGCCTTTCAGTATTCGGGGGTAATAAAATAATGATAGTTATTGTATTTGGCTACTAAAGAATGCAAATCTTGAAAGACTTTTCTCCCTCGTATTTTAGGTTCAATAACAAACAAAAATCCTAAATAAAGCAATGCCGCAAGAACTCGTTCATTTTTGACCAAGATTAATCACACTAAAATGGACGGGATCGAGATTGTATTCTTTATTTAAGAAAATAAGACATTCTTTCAAAAATACCTTATATTTTAATTCTGGAAACGCAAGAAACAATATTAACCAACTTCATTCTACTTTATAAGTCACTAGCGACCCGCCCCGGCTTCGCACGGGTGCAATATGCATGTATTATACATATAAACCTTTCTTAAGAATCACTCTATCTATTAAAAAAAACCGCATCAAAATCCGTTGCGTAGTTTTAAAGATCTAAGCATACATACGGACATACAGCGAAAGCGACTTTGTTTTATACTATGTATTGAAGTACGTCATGTTATCTTGCATGTCTATATATAGCACGGTACTAAAGGTCACTAGGATGCACTCTTGCGCATCATTACACACAGACGCCACGCAGTCTGCTAGACACGACCATAAATCATGAATACCATAAAGTTGGAAGCGCAGAAGGTTTATGAAGTAGAGTCGATTCATAATAAATTATTTAATTTGAATAAGTAACTGATTGAGTTTAAACTGTCAAACACCAAGCAGTCACCGGTGACCGAAACCTATTGTTCTATAATTGTGTCTATAATGACGGTACTCGACGAGTTAAATCGTGTTTTTTTGTGTGGCGAACGGTTTTTTTTAAACTAAAAATCTTAACTAAACATCGCGGGTTGCTCACGTTAATATACTGAGAAAAGCTCAACTAGTTTCGAACCACATGGGGGTTCTTCCATATGAGGCTGCGCGACATCGCTGCAAACGCGCACGCTGCTCAGCTCCTGCTTAATTTAGTACATCTCACGATAGTTATTATAAAAATGTATTTTTATGTTAGTAACTGATTTTGTCGAAATTAAACATACAATAATTTTAGTCTAATAATGTCATAAAATATACGTATAACGACTGTTTCTTGAAAGAACTAAACTAAATTTGAAGAACAGAACTAAACGAAAGAACCAATACGACCTTCAATCCTTCAAGAAATGAGCGTACCTACTCCTTTTCCATAAACAAGTAATACATCGACCTATCATCAAGAACATAACATAAAATAACATCACGCCTTTTATCCCCGAAGGTGTAGGCAGAGGTATGCTTCTGTACAATGTAACACTCACTTTTCACTATTTATGTTGTAAGTCCCATGTAATAGGGGGTGAGGACCTATCATCAAGAAGGGGGTAAAATTCCAATAACACAAACAAATGACAGGCTAAATAAAACAGTTCAATAAAACTTTAAGGACCAATATAACACATGCAACCAAGCCTTCTACGCGTACCTACTATTACAAACACTACCATGCTTTCGCTAGTCTATGGTGTATTATATAAGACCGCCATTAATAGTCCGCTCTATTTCCATCGATGACGTCACGTCCTGGTAGCCAAGTAGCCATAGCTCAAGTATCCGAGCCACGTCCTGAGAAAGTGGTCACTGGAGTTGGATTGTAACAGGTCAAACATGATACCTGTTCTTCCGTTCTTAACGGCCCTCGCCCACGGCAACTTTTTGTAGCGATGCTGTCGCGTGTCTGCATCGATACATTTGCGAAGTGCATGCAAACAAAAGTAACACAAGTTAGTAGCTATACTAACGCGCTTTTAGTGAACGCAGACAGCATCGCTGCAAAAAGTCACTGTGGCCCGTCTACTATTCCGTAAAAATAATAGGTGTCAATACTGTTACTAAAAATAACAGGTATTGTGTGTTACTAAAAATAAGACACATTTTTCTTTTTAGTGTATCTTTTAATTTCGATTACAGATAATGATGTAACAGACCGTTATTATTTAGACTGTACTTGTGATTGTGATTAGAGTTGTTATTTACCAGAGAGAACAACTG